TCCACTTATCCCAGCCCCCTCCCTGCATGACCTTCTGGGTCAGTTTGCACACTACCCTATATCACCCTAAACCCTGTCCAAGCCTCTCTCTCCAATTGTCTCCAATTGTTGTTTTAATGAGGGGACAAGGGATGGAGCAAAGGGATGTAGAAAGCAAACAATTACTGGAAGACTTGCCTCCTCCCCAATATTCCTTTTCACAAAGATCTGAGGGGGCAAACTTCTTTATTACTGCACTTCAGTTCATGACTCAAGCTTCTGCTCCCCGAATTCCTAGAGGGAGCAGACGGTGGGGAGGGAGACGATCTTGTCTTTGCCCTAAAGTACTTTCTTTGTGCCTCCGCGTCTTCCCGCCGGCAGCCCATAGCTTACGAGGGACAAAATAAGAATCCTGAGATGTGCCGAGTTCTCCTGACACACGAAGTCATGTGCAGGTAAGAGACACCCTCTCCTCGGGCTTGGTTGGAGAGCCAGGCAGGCCAGCCTCACCTTTGTCTTCAGAACATAGCTCTTAGGATTTGGAAACTAAACTCCAGAAAGATCCACGGTTCCTGGCATGGCTGGAGTTTGCTCTGCTGGGTGGAAAGCCCGGGCTGTCTGTGGCTTTGGGGTTCATATCTGGGTTCCCCCAATCCCCTTACACTTACCACAGCTGGGGGTGGGTGAAAGCTGGGTTCCTTCCCTGCCCACTCAGGCAGCACTTGTGGAGCTGAGGATAGACCCAAAGACCTGGAAGCAGAGACTGAGGGTTGAGAGACCCGTTTCCTGGGCACTTCCCCCGCGCCTAGGCCTGGCTGTCTCTGGATGAGGTGAATTCTTTTCAGCTCTGAAGGTGCCCACTCCAATGACTTCACAAGCTGGTGCTGGCACTAATGCTTTGTTTTTAAAATGGGGGTGGGGTAGGGCCTTGTTTCTCCGGTTAGAAGGAACCTCTGGGTAGAAAGATCAATCCTGGTTCCCACCTGTGAATGAGGTGCAGCGGTGGGGGAAAGGCTGGCATGCTGTAAGTTCTGGGTCCACAGCATTAGCTGGAGTCTTGGGCTCCCCACTGCAAGAGGCCCAGGCTGTTAGCCTCTTTGCTCTCCTCAGCCTTTGCCCTCTACCTTCTAGAAAGCTTGAACCCTGGGCATTGGCCTTTCCCTTCTGCTTGAGTAGAACGAAAGTTTCAGAAATTAGAAGAAATTCATCTACACACTCGTTGAACAGAAGGTTTTTGAATGTCTACTCTGTGCCCAGGATGGGGCCGGAGGCTTAGAGACCGTGGGGTCAGTGGGAAGAGGGTGGTTTTGTACTAAGAATGTGACAGCTATTCTATAAGCACGTTTTTTTCCCTCCCTACAGCCCGATTAGAGGGAAAGTCTCAGTTCTTCTTTCCTCAGACCTTGCTCTACCAATTGTTTCCCAAGGACAGGATTGCTAGTTTGGGATAATTGCAGGCCATCTAATTTAGTCCTGAGTATTTTATGGGGGCTCCCTTAAGCCCTTATGTCCCTCTTCAACTCAGGAAGAAATCATAGCAACCAGACATGTTTGTTTAGATTTTTGAACGAGTATTGGGAGGTGGAGGGGGAGGAACACCACATCAAACCGCAAACTTCAGCTGGGCCAGATCTTGATGGAGGGAGATCCAGGCTGTCTAACTACAGGAGCCTGCGGATGAGCCCTGTGCTCCTTTAACTCAGGGCCCTGATAGATTTGTTCAGAAAGAAAATACTGTTCCAAGATGCACTTGCGGGTAATAGCTAGATTAAATAATCAGAAGGCTTCGATTTGGTTGGCTAGTCAGAAGGGAAGGTTTAAAAGAAAATCCTCTCTACACTGTTTAAATGTCTTTGTTTTGGAGAAAGAACCCTCGCAAAAGAAAACAAAACCCCAAACCAACCCATTATCTAATGAATCTTTCCGAACACTTGAAATAATACTTGCACGCTCCATCCAGCTGCAGTGAGGCTGACATTTTTTATTTTTTAAGCTCAAGCAAATCCTCCTCATTTTATGCTGTTTAAGTAGCAGCATCAATTTTTAAAGCCTCTAGTTTAGTCTGCATTAGTAACACAATATAAAAATTTAATGTACTGTAACTTTGCTGTATCGGAGGGCTGAGAAAATGCTCTGCTCTTTTCTTCCCAAACCAGACTTTGAAACACATATTAATTATGGGCACATAAATGATCCATTGGATGGGTACTGTCTGCAGTTTTCCAAATAAGTGTGTGTGTGTGTGTGTGTGTGTGTGTGTGTGTGTGTGTGTGTGTGTTGGGAGGTGATCCATGTGTAGGCAAATATTGACTGCCTCTGAAAGGGAATTTCTCATTCAGTCTGTCAGTTAGAGGGGCTGAGGCCTCAGGAAGGAGAAAAGTTTCTTCTCCCACATTTTCAGACTCGGTTGTCGCAGTGAGGGTGCATGTGCATCGAAGAACGTCCTGATTGCTTTGTCAGTGATGACTGCACATATTTACTTTCGCCTGGTGCATACTGGGATGTTTCTGGGAGTGGTTTTATGTTCGGTAGCCTTTAGGAAAAGGCTCCTCCATACACTGGTGGTTAGCTTTGAGGGCTGGGGAGACGAAAGCAAAGGCTGTGGAGGTAGAACTTTTTCTCCCTCTCCCGGATGGCCTCTGCCTTTCCCCGCTCCCTGCCTGAGTTCATTTTGCCAATTATGTTGCTGCCAGCTACCCCTGTGCCCTCAGTGCTCAGAGGGTTAAAAGGTATTATAATTTGAACAGAAGTCTTCTCAAGGCTACAGCTGGCTAATAACAGAGTTGTATTGAGCGCGAGCAAACCTCACAGCTGTGACTTTTTGCCACAAGGCGCAGGCTAGACAGGGTCCTAATCAGAGGGACCAGCCGGGCAGTGGGGCCAGTGTCTTTATCGGCCAGATGGTGTGAATTTAGACACTTTTGTTATGCAATCGCAGGGAGGAGTTGGGGAGAAGAAAACAAAACAAAAGCCACCATGCTGTGCGCTTATTTGAGTTTGAAATTAGAGACAGATTTTTGAAAGTTGAGGGTTGAATTTTAAAAACGATTTTGGAAGAGGAGAGGGCCACATGAATTCATCTTGAGCCAGACTTTGGCTGACTGGACACCCCAAGTCCAAATCTAGGGCTTTTATTTTATTGATGATTATTTTTCTTTCCTAGTTATCTTTTATCTCCTTTTAGCCTTTCTGAAAGATCCAGGTAAGGTTTAGGGTTGTGATAAAAATGTCTTGTATGTTCCCACCTTTCACGCTTCCCCTCCCCCCCCAACTTGTCTTATTCTTTCTCTTTTCCTCTTCAAAGACTCCATGTGGAGACAGGAAAAGAGGCCTGGACTCAAATCTACAGTGTTTCAAGTAGAAGGTTCTCCCAATGAGGAGGAGAATAAAATAAACCAAACTAAGCCAGACAGTGAGGCAGGGGTATGGCTTTTCTCTTTACTCATTGCTGTAAGGAGCACCCCCAGCTGAGCCCCTGGGGTAGTTAGAAATACAAGTATTAACCTACCACCAAGTTCACTTCCCTCTTCTCTTTGTTTGTTTGTTTATTATCTATTTATTTTGCAATGATTATGAGTGAAAAAAAAGCAAAACAAAACTCTTCTCAGGAAGTCCAGACTTGGAGACTTGGCTGTTTATAAAATAACCCTAAGAGCCTTTCTACTACAGTAGTGAATCTGAAGTTGTCTATTCAGGCTTTGTCTGTGCAGCAGGGAGAGCAGAATGGAGTTAGTTATGTGAGTGATCAGAGACAGGTTCTTGAGTATCACCTGTCCACAGGGTCCGGGAGGTATGTTGTTAGCATGGAGACTGGATGTCACTTAAGCATCGAATTAAGAACAACTAAGACATATTAATGAGACCTTCACTTTAAAAGAAAAAGAAAAATAATTTTCTCTGGTTAGTTTACAGACCCAGAGAAATTGAAAAAAGGGTGAAAACAATCAGGTCCTATTACTATTATTTTTAAAATACTTTTACTATTGTAGTTTGATCACCAAGTGGGTAGATACTCACTTGTATCTCTTCTGGGCTGGGTACAAACATGAGAGATTTTATTTAAATGTGTAACCGTTGGAAGGCAAAGGATTGGGTTCTAAAGTTTCTTTTGCATCTCCTTCCCTTCCCCGAGTGATCCAGTCGCATTGTGCTGGCACCAGGCTTATGCTGAGATCTGTTTTTCTTTTCCTCCAGAGGAAATCCCTGTGGAAAGCAGCTGAATTCAGCTGAGCAATTTGACAAACCTACTCAGTCTCCTCAGAATCATTCCTCTCTAAACGAAACAGATTGGCGCATTGTGACGGTGTAATTAAATCGTACCCCCCGGCACACATATTTAGGGTTCAGTTGGTGAGTGGGTGATGTAAAGGAGTCGAGTGTGGAGGTCTTTAGGCACCTACCACTGACGAGTCTTTTGAAATTGGGTCTACAATGCGGTTTGTCTCAGAGGCTTATGTAGAAGTTAGATGTAAGCAGTAGTGGAGACACAGGGAGGTGGTGGCCTTAGGTGGGTGAGGGGGGGAGACTAGGGAGAGGAGGTTTGGGGAGGTAGGAGGGTCACTGGCCAGCTCTCCTATTGGTGCCAATTTTGGGATAGATTGAATTTTTTTCTTTTTGTTGGACATGGGGCCTGAGCTCTGGACCTGGGCACTGTCCCTCAGCTCTTCAGCTCAAGGCTAGCGCTCTACCACTTGAGCCACTTCCGGCTTTTTCTGCTTATGTGGTGCTGAGGAGTTGAACCCAGGGCCTCATACATGCAAGGCAAGCACTCTACCACTGAGCCACCTTCCCAGCCCCACAGATTGAAATTTTAAAAGTTCAGACCTAGTATAATTGTAAAGGCCAAGTATGAGTTCAGAAAGTCCCAGGCTGCTGTTTAGGAAAGTTGAGAGAATTCTTTTGCTGTTGTTGTTGTTACATTCTACTAATTTGATTAAATTTGTGGAAGCTTCCTTGTACCCATTTGATGAAAATGTCCAAGTGTGTCTCAAGTGTATTTTACTTTCGGTGGGGAGGTGGGGGGGGGTGTATTGGCAAAATGGTTCACTGGCTAATGGACACATCTCTGCGGGAGAGAGATTGACTGGCAAAGTTTTAAAATATTAATTTATGTTTAATTCTGTGGAGGATCAGAGGGTGAATGGACTACAGAGAGTAGGGCTCTGACTGGGCGGGGACATGGCTGCCTTCCCAGGCTCCCTGACCCCAGGGCCTTTGCATAGGATGCCCTTGGCATCCCACAGCCTTGTCACTGAAGCCTACCAGGGCTCTAGCCACAGTGGAACCCAACATTTCTGTGTAAGCTCAAAGGGGTTAAAGAGATTTTCCTGCCTTCCTGCAGCTGGTTAGAGGCAGGCTAGAGGCCAGAGCCCCAGACACTGTTTAGCGGTGTCTCAATGGCAGTTCACCAGTGCTGAAGTTGGAGACCCTGCCATGGGAAAGGCAGCCCTGGCTGCTAACATTGATTAGACTCTTCTCCAACTGAGTGGATGATCATGATACCCTTAAAAGCCACGTCAAGGCCATCGTCTGAGTTGACTCCAGACACGCTCAACCGGCCGAGAGGCCTTCAGAAGTCTGTAGCTCTGACAAGCAGCATTGGACTGCTCTGTCTGTCTGTCTGTCTGTCTGTCTTTCTGTCTGTCTGTTGGTCTTTCTCTTCTTCTGAGTACTTCCTTTCTGTTGTACTTGCATTGGGGGCTCCTTGTATCTCTTTCACTCAGCGAATCCCTCTGCATTTATCCAGCTGTCTGGGTATCAGCCCTTTGTTAAAGGGGAGTTCAGGGATGTAGAGTTCTCAGAAGTGAGACTTGTATGTGGTCCAGTCCCATTTCACTTCCAGCCTTGGTGATGATTGTTGAAGCTGGTATTCCCTCCCTCTCTCCCTCCCTCCCTCCCTCCCTCCTTTCCTTCCTTCCTTCCTTCCTTCCTTCCTTCCTTCCTGACAACACACCTCCTTCCTCTCTCCCTCCCTCCCTCCCTCCCTCCTTTCCTTCCTTCCTTCCTTCCTTCCTTCCTTCCTTCCTGACAACACACACCATAGTTCTGATCTTCTTCCTTTGCCTTCGGGATGAGGGAATGAATGAATGTCTCTGAAGGACATTAAATTCTCCAAAGAAAGACCTTATGTAAATGAGATCTGTGACTGCTCCCTGCCCTCCATAGAGCACACTTTTCTTCTACCTTCTTTAAATATTTATTGAGATACAAAGATGTAGAATATACAATCACAAAGTAAACGAACACCAGCCTGGAAATGACGTTGTAGCCTTAAGATCCAACCAGCTGTGATTTAATTATCAGCATGGATTTGGGGGAATTGTGCATTGAAGAGAATTACCTCATTGGTGAGCCATAGAGTGAGAATTTGGACGAATATGTTTTGGCATCAGGGTCAGATTAAAAAACAAACAAGCAAACATATAGCCACACATTTTTTCCTTCAAGTAGCTTCTAGTTGGAGGCTACTTGGACATATTCATTTTTTTGAGTTATTTTTAATGTTGTATGCTCATTGTATTTTCTTTTTTCTAACAAAATTCTTTTACTCTTTGGCTTCCCTTACGCTGCAGTCGGTGTTGCGAAAAGAAAAGCTGCGGAAACCGAAATGAGACACCTTCCGACCCGGTTATCATCGACAGGTAGGGGAACCTGTGGTTTCAAAATCTTTTTTTTTTTTTTTTTGTTTTGTTTTGTTTCTTTCCTTCATGAAGCTCCGCTGAGAACTGCTCCCCGGGGGCTGTGATGTAATGTTGTTTTCGTGTTTTCTTCAAGGCTACTCAGCTACTCGGGCAAGGTTGGCCTGTCTTGGAGCAATGTCAGGACCTTGCTTTCAGAACACACATCTCTAAATGGAGGAAGGATTCTTTTCCAGGTGCACACACGTTAGCTCAGAAGGAGTGTGTGTTAGGAGTGAGAGGGCAGGGTGTGGCTCTGCTAGTTCCCTGGGAGCCATGCACCCCAAGTTCACCGCCCGTGGCTGCTGGGCTTGAAGCCTGTCGGCTCTGATTACCACTCGGAGCCTGTGACAAGATTGTTCTTGATCCAGTGACGTTTCTCCCCACCACAGTGGACCGCATTCTGGATTCTATGTTGTAGTCTTTGGGACAAGATGCTAGTTTGCTGACATGTGATTTAGGCATCTTGCAGCTGTCGTGAGTGTGTGTGTGTGTGTGTGTGTGTGCGTGTGTGTGTGTGTGCGCGCATGCGCGCGCACATAGGATTGGAAACAGAACTTACAGACCAACGAAGGAATACCAAATTAACTCCCAGCAATCATGTAATTTTTAAGAAACCCCAAATTCCCACCCCTAATTTTTTCTTTTTCGTTAAAAAACGGAGTAATTCCCCGTTGCTTCTTTCTTTGGGTTTTCATGTTTCTAGCCAGGTCCTGAAATGGATTGGAGAGACCGCAGTCTCCAAAGTTGTTATTCCAGTATTCCCAGGAATTCTCAGCTGGGAGAGCCCAACCTCTGGCATCCTTCCCAGAAAGCCAGCTTGGTTTCCTTGTGCAGAGTAAGAGCGGCAAAGTGCAGAGTAGCGAGCAGCGGTAGATGTAAGGATCGAGGAGGCTGCAGTTCCAGGCCCATCTTCGCCCCTGACCCAGGGCACGGCGTGTTTTTAGCTTCTCTGGTGTGGTGATGGTTGAAATGTCCATGGTGTTCGCGGAGATACCTGGAAGGGGGTGGTAGGCAAGTGGAAAATGTCGGCTGGATGCCTACGGCGCCTCTGCCATTTTATAGAGCTGTTTGGGGTTTCTCTGGTATTTCTGAAAGTGCAGACAAGTTAAATATACAGCGTTGTAAGGACTCTGCGGGATCATTCGTCTTCTGCTTTTTAGAGATGAAAACACTGAAGTGCGGAGTGGTGACATGGCTTGTGCAATGCGTGGGGGCGGGGCAGGTGCTAGAGCTGGTGCTTCCTCCCCTCGCTCTCCCAGCATGCTCTCTGTCCCAACTGCTGTGTCAGTGACCTGGGCCCCCTTGTTTCTGGGATCCCTTGGGATCTTCCGGGGTGGGGGGCAGAGTGGAGCGTGTGATCACGAGCAGCTGAGATGCAGCTCCCCACGTTTCCAGCTTGCACGCTGCGTGCACTCATCTTCAGCTCCTGCTCCCCACTCACTTCCCAGTCCCCTTCCAGGAAGGCCTCAGACTCCCGAAGGTGACAGTCTCCTTGTAATACACACCCGTCACCCCCCTGAAGCAACATGTGCTCATGTACAAGCGCTGACCTGCGTGCATGTGCACACGTGTGTGCACGCGCACACACCCACACCCACCCACCCTCCACTGACTCCATAGTTCTTGCCCGCATCCACAGACAAAGTTAGATCTGTTCAGCTTCTTTTCCTTAGCAAGACATGTTACCTGCTCGGGAGAAAGTAGTCTTTCTTGTCTCTGGATCTGATCTCTGTTGCTTGGTGCTAGAATGCCTTAAATTCTGAGGTTGTGAAACTTGTACCGTGGCTGCCTTTCAGGGGGTTTGATGAGATGGTGGCATTATTATTATTATTAATTTTTCCTGTTCTCTGTACACTAATATAGCCCAATGGTATCATTGGGTCATATGAAAGATGCAGTACTTTTGAAATGTGACATCAGCGTATGGAAACATACATGCTGGAGTCTCATGTATTGGCCAGTTTTTGAGAGTTCTTACTTTATCCTGAACACGTGCGTGGGTGCCTGTTGTTTACCTACATTATTCACTCATCAGAATGTTGGCTTATGGATTCTCGGTGGCTTTGGGGTGTGCCTTAGCCCCTCTTGGAAAGCCGAGGGGCTTGAAGTCAGGGTTCTGCGGACTGGAGGTGGGAGGGAGCTTGGGTGACCAGGGTCTGGTCGAGTGGTGTCTCTGGCGGGTCCCTGGGTTCCATGTGTGCCAGCGTGGAGGCCTCGTGTGTCCTCAGCGCGCACCAAATGGGTGCAAAGCGGCCTGTCTCAGATTCCTCCGACTGACTACGGTTGGACCAGCTAATGGTGTCCGTCCTTCTCTCCACCCCTCCCAGATGCGGGTAATTTACACGGTCCCTCGTGGAGTCTCTCCATAGCAGGGGCTCTGGCTTGAGGGAGCTTGCTCGCTCCACTGGAATGGCACAGGTTTGAGGGGAAGGAAACCCAGGGGCAGTTTCTGAACTTCTTACCCCCAAGGACCCCTTCATTTCTGCCTTAGTGAACGCAGGCAGTTTTGCTTTATGATTTTGCGTTCCACGTCGCAAGTGAGTCCGCTGCAGCTGTGAGCTCCTTTCTTACTAATCAAAGACATGTAATAGAATAAAACATTAAAAACAAACAGACCTCCTCTCAGGTATGTCTTTGCTGTGTCTCCGTGGCCAGTTGAGAGCCAGCATTACCACGCCTGAGGCTCCAGCACACAACACTGGGCTTCCCGAGAGCCAGCACCGCGCGTGCACAGGCTGCTGGGAAGATGAAAAACAGCTTTTGCTGTCTTGTGGTTCCTTAATTGAAAACCACCAGTTTACAATGGGGGCTCCATCCTCAGTTACTTAGAGATACATTTCCCAAAACTTAGTCCCAGATTTGCAGGTCCTGCCTACTCAACACGGTTAAATTGTTCCCTGTCCGGATCTCTGGCGTTCTTGAATAACCATGGCCCTGCTCCTAAAGCCAGGCCAACACCCAGCTCCACAGCACCTGCTAGTGGGCCCAGAATCCTCCACAGTATCATCATTGCCGTCATTGTCACCTTCCTCCTCCTCCTCCTCCTCTTCTTTCTCCTCTTCCTCTTCCTCCTATTCCTCCTCCTCCTCTTCTTTCTCCTCTTCCTCCTCCTCCTCCTCCTTTTCTTTCTCCTCCTCCTTCCCTCCTTCTTTTCTCTCCTTCCTTCCTTCCTTCCTTCCTTCCTTCCTTCCTTCCTTCCT